GAGAAAGTGATGGAGTATGGGGAGGAGGAGGAGCGGAGAAGGTGATGGATATCGAATGAAGAAGGTCATGGCGGAGGAGTAGGGGGCAGGAGGAGGAGGGGAGAAGGTGATGTAGTAGGGGCAGGAGGAGGAGAAGGGGAGAAAGTGATGGAGTATGGGGAGGAGGAGGAGCGGAGAAGGTGATGGATATCGAATGAAGAAGGTCATGGCGGAGGAGTAGGGGGCAGGAGGAGGAGGGGAGAAGGTGATGGAGTAGGGGCAGGAGGAGGAGGAGGGGAGAAGATGATGGAGGAGGGAGGAGGAGGGGAGAAGGTGATGGAGGAGGAGTAGGAGGCCGGAAGAGGAGGAGGAGGGGAGAAGGTGTTAGAGTAGGTGGAGGAGGAGGAGGAAGACGAGGGGAGACGGTGTTGGAGTAGGGGGAGGAGGAGGGGAAAGGAGAAGGTGATGGAGTAGGGGGAGGAGGAGGAGGAGGAGGAGGAGCTGAGAAGGTGATGGAGATCGAATAAAGGTTATAGAGGAAGAGGAGGAGGAGGAGAGAGAGAGAAGGTGATGGAGTAGGGGGAGGAGGAGGAGGGTAGGAGGAGGAGGAGGGGAGAAGGTGATGGAGGAGGAGTAGGAGGCAGGAGGAGGAGGAGTGGAGGTGTTGGAGTAGGAGTAGGAGGAGGAGGAGGAGGAGGGGAAAAGGTGTTGGAGTAGGTAGAGGAGGAGGAGGAGGAGGAGGAAGAGGAGGGGGAGACAGTTTTGGAGTAGGGGGAGGAGGAGGAGGAGTAGGAGGCAGGAGGAGGGGAGAAGGTGTTGGAGTAGGTGGAGGAGGAGAGAATGTCATGGAGGAGGAGTAGGGGGCAGGAGGAGGAGGAGGGGAGACAGTGATAGATGAGCAAGAGGTGAGAAGGTGATGGAGATCGAAGGAAGAAGGTGATGTGGGAGCAGGGGGAGGGGGAGGAGTAGGAGGGGGATAGCTGAATAGTAGATAACAACATATGTGTGTTTATTCTCTGTTTATTCCTGATTTGTGATGCTCTATTAGCCATTTTATCAATGCACTGCATTAGCTACAGTGCATACAGCAAGTTTCAGCTAGTAGACAATAGAATAAACAATGCACGTTGCAGTCAGTAGCAGCTCGACTGTTTTAGCATTGTGCCAATGGCTAGAAATCGGTGGTGGCAGTATATTTTTTAACCGTCCCGTTTCATTACACAACAGATCATTATAAAAACTATTGTAAGTTGTTGTCAATACTCTATAAAAAGGCAATATTTTCATGAACTGAGTGAACACATTTTTTAACTAACTGTTTTCTCAAGCGAAACTTTCCATTAAAGTATAGATAACACGGTAACTCCGTGGGTATTAAACGACATAATTGTGTTCACTCGGCACTTTGTTCTTCTATTTCGTCTGATCGTTTTTCTAGGTGCTTGCATATAGCTGGACGAGTTAATCAATGTTGACTAGTCACAGAACGAGTGTGTGGCTGTGTGCCATCTTCGCGGTAGTTTGCCGGTGTGGTGTTTTGAACATAAACATTGTTCAAAACCACCCATTGTCAACTCAAAATGCTAAGAGTAGATTGTAACATAATTATTTGATATCTCCTGCTTATTATGAGCTATAACTATAATAGTATAGTATATGTATTAGTTATCGCAGGCACTACGGACCAAACTCTACGGTACAACGCTGACTACCACCGCGGCAGTCTCATTGGCCCAATGCTACTGCGCTTTACACGCGGCACTACAAGGGGCGGATTCAGACCGTATTTGCTGTATTGGGAAATACGGTATAGATTTCAAAGTGCCCTTCGAAATTTTGAGCTAAAAAATACAGAAAACAATTTGATGGAATTTGGCTATATTCTTTATTTGTTTTCTTTTTCTTCTGATTCATTGACAGGACTTGAAGGAAATCAAAATTTTACATGGTAACAAAACTAGCTTTGATATCTGAAAAAGAAGGGAAGTGCTTGAATCATTCTGCATTAATTGCTGGTATGCAATGCGCAGGCAAAATGAAGCAGAAATAAAATCACGCATGCGCACGCCGTGCTGGGGTAATTTCAGACCGTGACACCGGCATTACGTAATTTAGTTTGGCAAATAAACTGAGCATGTGAGGTAGTAACACTAGTAGCCGTATCAGATCAAGGGGCTACAACACAAGTAGAGATGCTAGCCACGTAACTCTCCTTCGATCCACAATACGTGGCCATCTTCAGATTTCGTTAGTCAATTGTAATTTTCTGAGCGGGAAAACCATTTGCCAATTGTATTTGTCACTTAGTGTCATAAAATCGCCTCTGTTATTTATTCATCGCATTTTGCGAACGTGGCAAAGCCAGCGGTAGCCCTGCCATAGTTCGATTCAAAGTTTTCTCTGTGAGATGCAAGAGCTTTTATTCCACTTTCCATCACACACACGTATTGCTAAATCTGGTGACGTCACCACTGGTGGATTTGTAGTCGTGACCCCATCGTCATAGCATACCTTGTAACGTCTGGGGCAGTACTTATTTTGACATCTTTTTTACATCTGGGGGATATTTATTTTGACATCTTTTTCCCAGCAGGAGAGCATTAGCGAGACCCTTGAAACGAGGCAGAACTGAGCACCCGCGATTTGTCTGATGGAGCCTTCTCATTCAGATATGCCACGCCCTGGAGGAGAGAAGTCCTACGTATGTGGTGTGTGTGGATATGCCAGCTCCAAGTTACGTTATTTCAAGAAACATATGCGCACTCACACAGCAGAGAAGCCATATGCATGTGAGAGATGTGAATATAAGTGTTCTACATCTGATATGCTTAAGACACACATGCACACTCACACAGGTGAAAAGCCATATGCGTGCGATATATGTGAATACAGGTGTAGGACCTCCAGTAATCTCAAGATACACATGCGCACTCACACGGTAGAGAAACCGTTTGCATGTGAGAGATGTGACTATAAGTGTACAACCTCCAGTCATCTCAAGAAACACATGCGTACTCACACGGGAGAGAAACCGTTTGCGTGTGAGAGATGTGAATATAAGTGTTCTACGTCTGATAGGCTTAAGTCACACATACGCACTCACACGGGAGAGAAACCGTTTGCGTGTGAGAGATGTGAATATAAGTGTTCTACGTCCGATAAGCTTAAGAGACACATGCGCACTCACACGGGAGAGAAACCGTTTGCGTGTGAGAGATGTGAACATAAGTGTTCTACGTCCGGTAAGCTTAAGTCACACATGCGCACTCACACGGGAGAGAAACCGTTTGCGTGTGAGAGATGTGAATATAAGTGTTCTACGTCCGGTAAGCTTAAGTCACACATGCGCACTCACACGGGAGAGAAACCGTTTGCATGTGAGAGATGTGAATAT